TTTTTTTTTTTTTTTGGTACCGGGGATTGAACTCAGGTCCTTAGCTTGCGAGGCAGGCAGTGGAACCACTGAGCTAAATACCCGGCCCGCAAGTTACATTTTTGATACTTTGAAGATATTATTCCAGGATCTTCAACATTCTGTTGTTGCTAATGAAAAGTTTCCTATCATTTTCCTTATTCCATTGTATATGATCATCCCTTTTCAATGGCTACTTTTAAAGTATTTTCTTTTAAGGTATTTTTATCCTTGATATTTTACAGTTACACTACTGTGAATCTGGGCTCTTGTTTCTTTATATTCATTCTGTTTCATATACATTGTGTTTCATGAATATATGAGTCTGCATTTTAAAAAATAATTCCTGGATAAGTCATAGGCATTATCTCTTTAAGTACTCTCTCTGCTCCATTCTCTCCTCTCCTTCAGACTCCTGTTAGACATTTGATCCTTCGTATCTCTGAATATCTTAATATTTCTTATTTATTTATTGTCACTTTCTGCTACATTTCTGAAGTAGCTTTCAGGTCAAAGTGAGTGAGATGTGATAGTAGGACATCATCGATGACTCAGAGGTTCCAGATTGGCCAGTGTGCCGAATTGGATGCTACCCTCTGTCTTTCCTCACTTTAAAATGTACTAAAATAAATGGCAGAGAAGTATGGTGTGCTAGAGCACTGCTCCAAGGAGCAAAAAGTATTCTGGGCTTGTATGCCGATATCTGAGCTGTAAAAGAGAAGAGCACTGCTTTGTTAGTTATTTGCTCCTAAATGTGCAAGCACAAGGCCTTGTAGCTGAGCATGTGATTGAGGCTGTGCAGTGTACTGTGGCAGAGCTAAGGCCATATTTCCAGGTACTTTGTGAAGATTTAGCCTGAAAGTGACAATCTAGAAGTACATGTTTACCGGTGTTAAGCACCAGTAAGCTGCCAGTCTCTCTCTCTGAGTTTCAGTGTGACATTTTAGCTACAAGTCAATTTGTCAAGGACATGGCACCCTTTTAAAAATTGGTAACTTTGGGGCCAGGGATTTAGCTCACTGGTGCCGCTGCCTGCCTCGCAAGTGTAAGGGCCCGAGTTCAATCCCTGGTACCAAAAAAAAAATTAAAAACTGGTAACTTTAGTCTTGTCACAAATTATAAATTAAAAAGACACTGGTAGATAGGAAATAGGAAGAAATCAATGTTTTAAGTGCTTCCTACTTTTAATCTTTTGCTACAAGGTCTAAGATATATATATTCATGAATAAGTTATTGTGTGTCGTATGTTATTTCTCTGTATACCTTAATGCATTTAAAATAATATTCTGTTTGGATTTGGGATTGTGGGAATTTATCTGTGCTTTTTAAGAAAATCTTTGAAATAGTGAAAAGACATCATTATTATTGTACCATACTCTGTTTTTAAGAAGTACTTATATTTTCCCTTTATTTTTCTTTTGTCTCCTTCTCCTTCTCCTTCTCCTTCTCCTTCTCCT